AGAGAGAGAGAAAGAGAGAGAGAAAGAGGAAGGAAGAACGAAAGAAAGGGAGAGAGAGAGAGAGAGAAAGAGAGAGAGAGAAAGAGAGAGAGAGAGGAGGAAGAGGAAGAGGAATTTTCAGGAACACAGAAGAGTTGAGCAAACTCTGGGATAAAATAAACATGCTGAGTTGGGGGGCCCAGGGGTTTCCCTAGGAAACAGCCTGAGGAACCTGGGGGAGATTCTCTCCTAAGATGCAGAGCGAGCTGGCTGATGAGGCCACTCGGGGGTGTGAGGCCAGGCCATCAGTCACCCAGGGAGCCAAAGGAGGTGGAGGGGGCAGTGGGGGCCCAGCAGCCCCAGAGGAGCAGCCCTGAGGGATTATCTATTCCTGCTCCCTCAGCAGGGGTCAGCTCAGTGAAGGCTGCGCAAAGGTGCTCTGGTCTCCACTCTGTGCCCACAGGCGGTCATCGGGGTCCCTCTCCCACACTGGGGGACCATTAAGTATGGCTCCAAAGACCCTCTTTTCACTATGCTTTGGATAAGCAAGATGGAGTCTTGTTTTTTGTTTCTTCCTATGTTTAGTGAGGTAAAGCTGATTTACATCACTGTATATTTGGGAGTTAGAGGTTCAAGCCCCCACAAGTGCATACCCTCACGTGTCCACCACCAGGACCCCAATAATCTTGCCCTGTGCTCCCTGGGGGCCCTCCCTCTGCCTCTCCCACCCTTCTCCCTGCCCCTTCCAGCACCTCAGTTTTGCCGTCAGATCTTAAGGGCTCGTTATTGATTCGGTTCTGACTGGCCCTCAGTATGTTTCTCCGTATTCCAAGATGGCTCCTTTCAGCAAGGCGCGCTTTGGTCAGGCTTTCATCTGTTGCTTAATGTAGCAACAACAGTCATCACTGCTGCTGCGGTGCTGGGTGTTTCCCGAGGACTATGGCATAGGTGAGGAGCTGACCTGTGAAGCCAGACTGCTGGACTTTGCTTGGGCACCAAGGTGTCCCAGCCCGTTTTGGACCTGAGGACACAGAGGCCTAGCGAGGACACCGGAGACCTGAAGCAGGAAGCCTGCCCTCTTCTCCATTATAACCTCTGCTGCCTTATTTCAGGTATCCAGTGAGGGTCACCTCCCCATAGGTCCACGGCTAGAGTTCCCAGAGGCTGCTGAGTGCACACCCCTCTCCACCATGGCCACGTCACCCCGTCTCTCCCCAGGACACCGACCCTCACTCCCTCTAGTAGCAACACCTCTGTGCCTCCTGACCTCTCCAGCACTGTTCCATGACTGGAACAGCAACCCCCACCAACCTCTTGGCAGCTAGAGGTTATTTCCTTGATTGTCCGGAGGTGCTGAGGGAGGAAGAGGAGGAGAGAAGCTTCCACCCCACCGTCTACAGCTCTCTGTGCTGTCTGCATTTCCAAGCCCCTGCCCCCTGCCCTTTTTCTCTGTAATACCAAGGGTAGGGGGCAAGGTATGGGGTTTAACTATGTCACCCCAATTCTTACATACTTATAATTTTTAAAGGTTTATTTATTTATTCATACAGAACTGGGATACAGGCCAGAGATGCGGAGGGTGGGAGGATTCACCAGAGACAGAGTGGGGAGCAGAACAGGCAGATCGACGAAGTACACTGTTGAGGGGAGCAGCGGGCGGGTCAGGAGAGGTCTGCCGTGCCATGTGGTCACCTCTGGGGCAGGCGGGAATCGAACTCATGCGGAAGTGGCTTTAGCTTCCCAGTGCTGTGCTTTAACCTGCTGCGCCACCAGGGAGGGCCCCCATACTTATATTTTTAATAAATGTTACATCAAAAACAATAAGAAGAAAAAAGATGTATCTTGGGCCCTCCCTGGTGGTGCAACGGGTTAAAGGGCAGCACTACAACGCTGGCTGCAGCCGCTTCAGCATGAGTTCGATCCCCGCCCCGGAGGTGACCCACATGGCGCGGCAGACCTCTCCTGACCTGCCCGCTGCTCCCCTCAGCAGTGTACTTCATCCATCTGCCTGTCTGCTCCCCACTCTGTCTCTCACGAGGTGGGTGATGAATCTTCTAAACCCTACACCTCCGGCCTGTACTCCAGTTCTGTATGCATAACTAAATAAATTTTTAAAAAAGGAAAAAAGATGTTTCCTAGCCTCCCCCTGCCGCCCAGGGCGACATGCGCACAGGCTGCCCTCAGGGGCCTCCGGGAGAGTGGGAGCAGCATCAACCAGCTTCCTTCCTTACTTTGGTGTCTGAGGTGCTGCACGCATTGGGGCAGCAGAAAGCAGAGGCCTCATGTCAGAGAGCTGCTCTGGGGGTGCTGCTTGAGGTCTCTACGAGCAAGGCCCCGGCCTTCTGAATAAAACCCAGGAAAGGCTTTGGAACCAGGGGGCTCTGGCCCACGCTGGTACTCAGTGCTGGAGTAACATTTGTGGCGAAAGAGGGGTGCCCATGGGGCCCGTGTGCCCGAGTCCACTCAGGAAGCCCAGCATAGAAGCTGAGGGCCACACTGGTCAGAGGGCCCCCATCAGTGGTTCTCCCTGACCCTGAGATCTCACCCTAATAAGTACTTTCTAGAATGTGCTGGGCGTAAGGTGAACTAGACACTGACTCTTAAATAGCCAGGTCGCCACTTATGTGCCCGAAGCAATGTTCTAATTGTCACTCTCCTGTTCCAAGGATCTGATATTTCTTAACAGGCGTGTGGTTCTCTGCAGAGATGTGACCTCCAGTGAACCAGCCTCCTCCCCAACTACTTAACAACATAAAGCCAAGACAAGGGCAAAACAATCTTTCTGGGTGATGACATGGGCCTGACTATCGCAGCCTCCCTCAATGTCGTCCTGACGCTCTTCACCTGCGGGTACTGGTCTCCACACCTCACTCTCTCAGCTCTCCAGCGCATTTTGGCTAGGGACACAAATGCCTGAGGGATTCAGGAGCCGAGTGCATAGGCTAAGACCCACCAGGTCTCCAAATCTCATGTGAGCAATGACTGTCTTTTTTCTAACATCGAAGTTCCCAGCACAGGTACGAGCACTTGGTCACAAAAATCACATGTCATGCTTCTGGTTTAATTTCTTGACACCTAAATGTGAAGGGGTTCTGGGCCCTCTCTGGTGGCTCAACGGTTTAAAGTGCAGCCCTGTGAAGCTAGCTGTAGCAGCTTCAGTAGGAGTTCCATCCCCACCCTGGAGGTGACCCACATGGCGCGGCAGACCTCTCCTGACCCGCCCGCTGCTCCCCTCAGCAGTGTACTTCGTCGATCTGCCTGTTCTGCTCCCCACTCTGTCTCTGGTGAATCCTCCTACCCCCTGCACCTCCGGCCTTTACCCCAGTTCTGTATGCACAAATAAAGCTTTTTTTAAAAGTGTCAAGACGTTCTGTTCTGCATGTGTCATGCACTTCCTTACTTCTGCCTTTCTGTTTGTCATCCATATATCAAAAGTGAGCACGCTCAGATCCAACAGAAAAAGCACCAGAACCGCATCCCGGGCGGGGTACCCTGTGCTCGTCCCATCCGTTTTGAGATTGTCTTTCTCCCCTAGAGCCCGCTCTGGCTCCTGTGTCCCAGGTCCAATGGACCCAACGGCATGACGTCCACATGTCTACTGTTTGGGATCTAACTGCACCTTCTGAACCAGAAGCTTCAGGAACTAAGTTACTTTGCAGTAGCAAGCCAATGTGAAAGTCAATAACCTCCAGTATTTTTAATTCCACATTTACCATCATTTTCAGACAAGCAGAACACGGAAAATAAAGCTCAGCCCGGCCCTGCCCCGTACTGACTAGGAGCAGTTTTCCTGGCATGTAACCTTCACTGGAGCAGCGAAGATGTCCGCCCTGCAGTGCCCGTCCTCCGCCCTCTTCTTAGGCCCGCGCCGTCCCTCCTCCTCTCCCTGAGAGCCTGACCCTGCGTCATGCGGCTGCAAAGGGCTCTGTCCCCAGACCGAGCAGCGTGAACCCGACTGCACGCTACCACTCTGGGTGCTGAAGGGACCCAACACCCTCTTTCTCCCAACCTTGCACCTGCCCCCATCCTTTCACCCCAAATGGAGCTGCTCTGCTGCCCAGAAAACCTCGAGGGTCAGACATGACCCAGCCACTCCCAGCAGCTGCCAGCTCAGGCAGTCTGAGGCTTCTGTCGGAGAAAACCAGTCCCCCTTTCCTTTGTCCTACGTCAACTAACAGTGAATTCCCCTCCATTTAAAACCCTGGCCAGTGTTTGGTTTGCTTTATTTATTTATTTTTTTTGGCTGGGTCTTTTTTCTTTTTTAGGAGGAAGCTCTTTTCACAATGATATGAAGAGAATTCCAAGATATATTAGGTAAGAAGCAAGAGAGGAAAGTTGCTACAATTATTTTTTTACAAAAAGCTGTGAGTGGACAATCGTGGGAATCTTTTCAGTGTTTACAGATGTCAAATCATCACACTGTACCCTTCAAGACACAACACTTTTATTTGCTAACTGTACCTCAGTAAAGCTGGGGGCAGGGGAAGCGAGGAGGGGGGCAGAGTGGGCAGTGCTGGACACGCTGGACATGCTGGCCCCTAAGGAAGGGCAGGGAGGCCAGATGCACTCTGTGTTTGTGAAGGTCACAGGAAGCTTCCAGCAGCCGGAAGGGCCAGAACCGGGCCGCACAGGCCTGGGCCAAGGGAGCCCAAGCGTGGCCACGGCACCTCTGGAGTTCTGAATGGTGTGAACTTATTACCTATGTTGGGGGAAAGGTCTGGGTTTTGTGGACTCCAAAACTACTCCAGTTGTTGAAACTACAACTCCACCCCTTCTCCAGTCACTGAAACTACAACTCCCAGCAATACCAAAGGGAGGACTGCGAGGACCCAAGGGTGGAGCTCAGCAGCCATTTGGGGACTTCTGGGGATATATATGAGGGAGCCCTGTTAGGCTCTCTCGCCCGCTCTCCCTTGGCCTCGTGCTGGGTGTGCTATTGGGGTTCCAAATCAGCAGAGCTGCTAGGATGTTCTAGTTGTATCTCTTTCCCTCTCTTTCTCTCTCTTTCCCTGGGTTGTTCCTTTTCTTTCCCCTTTGTAAATAAAGCCATTACTGACCCTTTTGTGTGTTCTGCAGTACAATGGAATCTCAAGAGTGCAGTTGAGGACCCACAGACAGGCAACCCAGTTCACATTGGGGTGCCCTGTAACACCTACTCCAGACAAGCACAAACGCAGTAAACACCATGGCCCAAGCTGGCACTGTAGGCATCCTCGCACAAGACAGCGGGCGTCCATTCTGGCTGCCAAACTCCAGGAGGGCAGAGCTCCACTTAGGAACCCCTCAGTCTCATAGGAGACTGGCCACACTTTGCTCATTTGTAGAATGGACGCCTCTTCTCCATTTCTGGCCACACCTCAGTGTGGCTGTAAAACTCAGAAAATATCGATGGGCAAGTGTTTCAGCCCCAGCATTGGAGCGCACAGCCTAGGGGCTGTAAATAAGCTTTCCTGAAGTACTCCAGTGATTCAAGTACTCCTATTTGATAGTCTTCCAGGTATCATCCCTAGAGGAGAAATCAAGTTTGAACAGGAGAAAAAAATGTTGCCCAACGATGATGCTGTCCACCATGTTACGTAAACGCACTAAAACCTCAATGTCCAAAAGTAGGGAGTCTTGCTTTCAACAGTGGCCTCGTCGCCACGAAGAAAGGCCCGTGAGGTCTTTATTTACACTGAGAACAGGAAGGGGCTGGAGTCACACAGGTGGTGCAATCACAACAGGGAGAGACTTGGCCACAGGCGGCAGAGACCGCGACCACACGATGTCCACTCCCTGGCCTCTTGCCCTCCTTCGGGCCCCGCCCCTCAATGGTGGGGGGCTTGTGACTCGCTTCTAACTGATTAACGAGGGCAGAGGTGGTGGGGTGGGGACGATGTGTGTGACTGCCTGCTGATGAGACCACTGCAACTCCATCCTGTTCCAAGGAAGCCACCATCAGCAGGGAGGCCCAGGCCTGCAGCTTGGAGAGGAGCCTGCTGGCCACGCCTCTCCAGACTCCAAGCCCCCAGCAGGGGTCTGAGTAAGCCCTGACTCCCACCCAGCGAAACTGTGCGATAACAAGCACGTGCTGGTGGAAGCCACTAAGCTCTGGTGACTATGGTTCCACCATGACAGGTGATAAGTCATACATAGGAAATGGTTTGACCAAAGACGTGAATCATTTTGATGACATGAAATTGTATTTTGTAAGTGAACAAACTAACAATGTCACTTATAGTAAATATACAAATAAAGTTCTTACTTATTTAATGAAAAGAAAGTGTTTGGCTGAAGAGATACTGAACAGGGGGCATTTGGTGTTTGAGTTGGGGGTTTTCTTCCCCCTCTGGTCTGCCCAACATACTTCCGATGATAAAAGACTTTTTTTTTTAAGATTTATTTATTTATGCATACACAGCTGGGGTGCAGGGTGGTGAGAGGACTCACCAGAGACAGACTGGGGAGCAGAACTAACGAAATACACTACTGAAGGGAGCAGCGGGTGAGACAGGAGAGGTCTGCTGTGCCGTGTGTCTGGGCAAGGGATCGACTCGCACGGAAGCGGCTGCGGCCAGCTTGCAGTGCTGCGCCCTAACCCGCTGCGCCACCAGGGAGGGCCTGATAAAAGACTTAAAGGTGACATGAATGCACAAATGTTCACCTGAGCCCTCCACACCCCCCAGCCACTGCCTCACCGGTGCAGACACCGCTGAGCCCAGCCCAAGTGGATCTTTACCTCCAGTCGAGTCAGCATCGCTCACAAAGATTTTCTCCACCGCATCCATGTCGAGCTCAGTGAACAGCTGAGGCTCTTGGAGTCTGCGCATCTGGCTCTGAGCTAAGGTGGTCTTGGATGGCGTCGGGGTGCTAAGCCCCTCCGTGTTCTTAAATTTGCCCAGAACGGATAACTGGAACAAACAGGATAACAAGAAGCAGGGACTGAGAGGGCTAATTTCCTGAACTGGGCATTTTTGTGTACGATCTTATTTAAAGAAAGCACTGGGGGAGGATGGAGTGTGTCTCCCTAGGGTGTGTTACAAAACGACACAAACAAGCCGGCCCTAATCGCTTGTAGACCGAGGAAGACCAAGAAAGATCTAGTGGCTTCTCCTGACTTTGAGTGACTATTACTCCACTTCTAACTAAAGCTGTCGCCACGAGGGCTCAGCGAAGCACAGTCATAGTCAAAGTCCCGCCTTACACATAACAGGACGTGATATTGTTCGACAATCTGCAGCAGTCTGAACTGAAGACCACAAGCAATCCAGTTCCAGCTTCCCCAGCGAAGCAGGACCAGCCCGAGCAGCCCAGACATCCCACCTGGGTGGGACCAGCTCACCCGCACACATCCCAGTCCTGCAGGCTCCTGGCAGCTACCTGCTACTCACTCTCCCACATTCCCCAGGCAGCCTCAAGCCTTCCCAGCCCTCAGCCAGGCTGCCTCTGCAGGGTTCCTACCTGCGACTCACGTTGACACTTAACAGGGTCGCCAAAGACCCAGGTCATCAGGCTAACATCCCCCAAAAGACTCAGGTGTGGGCTACGGGATAACCACTGAGTGTTAACTGGGCCCTTTCATCCTTTGGGCCTCAGGTCATCAAAAAAACTGGTTCAGAAGACAAGGTGGGAAAGTTCAAGTTGTGTACAAGAAAAAGCAATCTTAAGGCCCTCCCTGGTGGTGCAGCGAGTTAAAGCACAGCAATAAGAAGCTAAAGCCACTTGAGCATGAGCTCCATCCCCGCCTGCCCTGGAGGTGACCACATGGCGCAGCAGACCTCTCCTGACTGGCCCGCTGCTCCCCTCAGCAGTGCATTATCAGTCAATCTGCCTGTTCTGCTGCCCACTCTGCCTCTAGTGAATCCTCTTATCGCCCCTGCACCTCTGGCCTGTACCCCAGCTCTGTATGCAGAAATAATATATAAATCTTAGAAAACAAATCTTGAAATTGCTAACACATCAAAAGAGAACCCGGGACTCAAACTGAGAACATCTTTTATAAATATATTCTTGATTTTGACCAACTTCAAGCATAAGGCAACAGGTTGGTACTTGACATGTAAAATAACCCTGAATAAAGAAAAATTAAGTTAGGTAACAAGTATGTAAACCCTTTTCACTTAAAAAAAAATCCTTCTTTAGACTTAGTATTTAAAAACTATTTTTGTGACAAAAATAACTCTAGCAGAAATACATGGGGGGTGAGAATTGAGTGAGAAAGGAAGGACGGGGCCTCCCTGGTGGCCCAAGGGGTTACGTCAGCACTGTGACGCTACCGGCAGCCACTGCAGCACCCTGACTAGTCCTGGGTGCCCTCACTAGGACCTGTCTGCCTCCCTCCCGAGCTCTCTCTCCACAGCACCACTCACCTTTCTGGGAGGCAAATCTGATGGTGACCCCTGCTCTGGCACGGGGCAGCCTGTGCCCTCACCCCAAGTCTGAGCACAGTAACCCCACGCCCTGCACCATGTAGCCCCACCTTGGCTTCCCACGTGCACACGCAGGCCCCAACACCCCAAGCAATCCAGCCTTGCTCACAATGACCCGACAGCGCTATACGGGCACCTCTGTCATGTCTCCCTAGCTCTCAGGTGAGAACGATCCCTGCCACCTCCTCACTCCCAAACTCTGCTGACAGCAGACTGAGCATGCGTGGCTGACCCCAGGCGTGACTGTCCAGAAACGGCCGTCAAGGGGTCAGGAGCTCTGCACTCACCTTCTGCCAGGCTCCCTGCACACAGCTACTGTGTCTGGGGCGTGCCCGGTCACTTCTCCAGCTACGTTTCCAGAGCAGCAGGACCGCTCCGTCCCAACCACCCCGCCAGCCGTGCTAAACCTAATGATACCTAATACGTGAGCCCCAGCAAACTGTAGCCTCACGTTAAGTGTCCTAGGGAGCTCTTTGACAGCAAGGGCATGTTTATCTTCATTTAATTTATACTAATTACCTCTATGTTCCTCACCCTCAAGCACAAAATACTTATTTATCTGGCTGGATAAAAATATGCACAGCCCATCCCAGCATTATCTCAACTTGGCTAGACAAAGCTCAGTCTGCAGAGACTGCGAATAGATAGCCTCATCTGTTGCCTTGGATGCATGTGGTGCTTTTGAAGGAAAAACCAGCTGCTGCAGCACATGGTGAAGACCTCACCAGGCCTTGCAGATGCCTCAGCTCGGCGCCCCTGAGCCTGCTGACAGACTTCTGTGCTGGCGAGTGGTGCTTGGAGTAGTGAGAATGCCCCTCCCTTTATGGACTCTGATGGCTTTCTTACCTTTTCATGCTGAGTGCTTTCTCTTAAATCTTGGGAAGACACTGGCTTTAACCTAGAATAGGAATCAGTCACTTTAACATCAGTCTTTATATTTTTTTGGAGGTTTATTTATGCATACAAGAACTGGGTTACAGGCCAGAGGTGCAGGGGGTGAGCAGATTCACCAGAAACTGAGTCAGGGAGGGGCGCAGAAAAGGCAGATCTACTGAAATACACTGCTAAGGAGAATATCTGGGGAGAGAGGAGAGGTCTGCTGTACCATGTGGGTCAGCTCCCTGGCCAGGATCAAACTCATGCTGCAATGGTTGCAGACAGCGTCATTGTGCTGCTCTTTAGCCCATTGCACCACCAGAGAGGGCCCCTAATGCCAGTGTTTATAAGGACCACGTGTGGAACCCACCTAGTCAGGGCACAGCACAGGAAGGTGGAAAAGAAATCCCTCCATGAACACCCCAGCCCCGGCCCAACACTCACGGTGAGCATCCCTTCCCCCACAGGGGCTTCCCCACTGGCGAGTTTTCCCCAAGCTTAGATCTCTGGGCCTTCTTTCCCCCAATGGAGTTCCCTTACTGAAGTTACTATACTCCTGGCTGAAGGGCAAAGGCTTTCAAGGGGCCACAACTTTCACAGAATTGGAAGGGGCTGAGAGGCCATGCAGTGGTCCAGCCACAGCCACAGGTTAGGCCCAGGTGTGGGCACATGCCCAGGTGAAATTTGTGCTCAGGAAGTGGGGCAGGTGGGTCTTTCCATTCAAAATCCAACCTGGCCTTGGCTAACACCTGCCCTTGGATGCCTCTGGAGACAGGTCTTCCGCCAGTAGCCTCCTCATGGTATCGGGGTGTGAGGGAAAGAGACTGTCACGGAGCTCAGCTCTGAGAAGGTAAAGGCCCTATTTCCACGGGGTTGCTGCACTTCCATGCAAGATGGAAGAGTGTTGTTAGGGATGTCGAGACCACGGCTCCACCTCATGGCTGACAGCCTTCAGTAAGATCAAGAGGGGGCAAGGCGAAGGCCAGGGAAAAGGGCAAGCTCATACATTCAGCGGGGACAGTGGGGCTGAGCCAGCTTGGTTTGACAAAGGCCCCTGAGAGGCATGAGCAGAAGAAAAACTGGAAGAATAGAGAATCTTAAAACTCTCACTGGGAAGTGCGCTGGACTATGGTGATGGCACATGGGTGACCTGGTGATGGGAAACCCACGGGGATTACAATTGAAATGGAAAAAATTGTACAAATGATGTAAAACAAACTATTATATTATTTACAAAAAACAATCTCACTGGGGAGTCTCACCTGGGTAAAGGACAATTGTGAGAATGCATCAGCATAAGGTGCAGGGCGACTAGAGGCTAGCCAGCCATGTCCTACCCCAACAGTATCTTGGCTACAGCTCAGAAGTGAGAACTGAAGGAGTGAGTGCAGTGAGCCAAAGGAAAGATTTGGAAGCAAGACCCAGGGTAACTGAGGTAACTAACGCCAGAAACATTTCCAGAAAAGGGAGCGAGGAGCAACTTTATGCTTGTGATCCTGGGCTCTGATGAGAAATGAAAAACATACTTGGGGGCCCTCCCTGGTGGCTCAATGGGTTAGGACGCAGCACTGCAAGAGAGCTGCAGTTGCTTCAGTGCGAGTTCGATCCCCACCCTGGGGGTGACCCACTTGGCGCGGCAGACCTCTCCTGACCCGCCCGCTGCTCCCCTCAGCAGTGTACTTCGTGGATCTGCCTGCTCTGCTACCCCTCTGTCTCTGGTGAATCCTCTCACCGCCCCTCGACCTCTAGCCTGTACCCCAGATCTGTGTGCATAAATAAATCAATCTTTAAAACAAAAAAAGAAAAACATACTTGGGAATAGGGGGCTCTCACTTGAGGAGCTGCTACAGCAAGAGGCTAGAGAAAGGAGAAACACCCCAAGACGGGGAGCCAGCAAGGATGGGTGTCGAGTGCGGCAACATGCTCATGACCACGACCAAGGTGACCAATGAAAAGCTACACGAATGCAGTGCCAAGTCCTCATCTGTCAGGAATGTGTGTGTGGTGCCACCTGCATAGGACTGGAAAACACTCTGAGTTAAATCAATGGCAGGTGAGATTATGGGGGATTTTTATAAACTAAATATTGCACAGTTCAGAAGGCTGATGGCAATCTAAGAAGTGTTGCAGTGAAAGGTAAGGTGGTGTCACTCTTCTGTGAAGGCCCCTTTACAGGAGAGGTCAGGGGGACTCGTGGCTGGTGGCTCATGGACCCAGACCATGCATCCGGGACACACCTGCTCACCTCCATGTCCCCCGCTACCTCAGGCCCAGGAGAGGCTGCTCTCCAAAGGGAGACCTGGCAAATGAAGCCACCTGTGGTCAGGCTCCAAGTGACTTGCGTAGGAAACTCCAGGACTCAGAGGCCAGAGCGCAGAAGGGGGAGTGCCTTGGGTGGTCACGTCCTCTTACATGCTTGGGTCCCTCCCTTGGTGGAGAGGGGCACAGCCAGATGAGGGAGAGGACACCCTACGGCTCAGGGCTCAAGTAGGGGCCCAGGCTTGGGCCCTGCCTGCTACGCACGTAGAGAGGAGACCAAGGACACAATCGTGAGTGCTGAGAACACTGTGGAAGGCCGCGCCCATTGTATGGGTTATCAGGGCACCGGGGCCATTAAGAAAAAGAAAAAAGTGTGCAAACTGCACTAACCTAAGGCACGTGGATCGCATTTCTATGAGGTAGGCAAGCGTGGGTATGTTTAAGTAAGTGACTTCTGCTCTGCTTCAGTCTTCCGCTTCTGGAGCAAAGGTCAGTATCACCCGTGAGGGCATGACCATGGAGCGCCGCACCCAGACTCGGGTGGTACCGCCCACCAGCGTGGACAGCCTAATGGAATCATGGGAGCCACCCCAGACCGCAGGACGGATTAAAGATGGTTAGAGAGCCAGACACTACAGGCAACACGTGGTCTGACTCTAAGGGCAGGGAAACCAAAGGGCCATGTTAGGCCACTGCAGAAAGTGAGTACTCTCCATTCTTAACGTCATTTCCTGCGTTTAACAATGGCACTGTGGTCATGAGGATGGCTTTGTTCTTAGGAAATACACCCTTAAGTATTTATGGGTAAAAGAACATAATGTTTGTAACTTATTCTCAAATGATTCAACAAACACAGGTACAATAAAGCACATGCAGCAAAATATTCAATTAGTCAACTGGGCGAAAGGGAGTTCTTTATGCTGTTCTTACAACTATTTCCTCTGT